GTGTGTGTGTGTGTGTGTGTGTGTGTGGTGCGAGCCCTTTCAGCTGATAGCAGAGTGGGGTATGTGCGATGGCGGAGGCGGTTTTGGTCGAGAAAGCCTGCAGGACAGTGTAGTGGTGCCGAGCATACACGGACGATGAGCCGGCGATTGATGTGCTGACCTTTGCCTCCCTACCGTCGATCCTGGATGCCGTCCTGCCGAGTATAGGAGATTCATCTTGCGCCCGCGCTCTGATTCGAGAGCTTTTCTTGCGGCGAGTCGCTGCGCAGTCGTAGGTTGCTTGCGGATGCCTGCACCTGGATCTGGGAATGGACGGATGACCGCTACGGCCTGGCGTATCTGCTGAGCACGATGATGACGCCGATGAGGAACACGAGCGCATGAAACGCCGGATGGTTGACTGGACACGCCATCGCCTCAGACCACCTTCGAGAGCGCAACAGCACAACGGTATAGCCACAGCTTCAAGGTGGAAGTCAAGAGGCAAAGCTCAGTCCCGCTTCCGCCGTGAAAAAAGGCGCCGAATTCTCACCAAAAAAGGGTCCGCAAAGGGTCCGCCCGCAGCGAGGCGGTCCAAGTGGAGGCTTCAGCGCCGAAAGCGCCAACTTCATCCAACTCGCTCCGACCCCTCAATTCATTCCGCTAACAACACTCGCACACACAGAGCCACGTCCAAGTGAATGTAGGTATCAACTATTTCGATCAAGCACACAGGGTCGTTGGCGATTGGGAAGATGCAGTAAGGAGACTTGTCGGCGGTCGGAAGGTCGGATCGTATCGTATCGTGTCGTGTCGGTAGCGGGAAAGATCTCGAGACATGAGAGGCGCGGGCACGGCCATCAATCATGTGCCATCGGCGCTGCCCAGAGCAGCTCGCACGAAGGGGCCAGCAGGAGGGTATCTGCGCGCGCAAAGTCCAAAGAGGGGTCGCCACGCTGCGGGGTTGAATGCGTGGTCCATCGTCGAGCAGCACCGGGCGCGAGCAAAGACGAACTAGTACAGAGCCTCGTCCTGCTCGAGGGCAGCCCAGGTGGCTTCGGCCGATCCGTCCTGCGCGAGCTCCATGAGCTTGGGGATCGATGCACACGGGTTCGAGCCGTACGGCTGCTCGTCGAGGTTGGTGGGCACCCAGCCGTACTGCAGACCGGTCTTGTACGACCAGTCTGGGTTGTTGTCGTTGCGCCACGACCACATGATCCATCCACCGCCCTGCTCGAAGATGTACTGCTGCGTGCGGAAGTTGCGCGCCATGAACGCCATGTACTTGACCGAGTAGGGATAGTTGGGACCCGCCGGGAACTTGACGGGTCCGACGGGCAGATCGCGGTCCTGTGCACGGTCGCCGTTGGGACCGTTGATGCCCCACTCGCCCGCGATGGAGGGATAGTACTTCTGCGACTGCTGGAAGCTGCCGACGAGGTTGCACGCCTCCTGCAGACGCTGCGTGTCCGTCGCCTGGTGCTCCCAGTCGCTGTACACAAAGTACGGGTGCGTGTCGAGCAGCACACGGTGGCGCGCGCGGCCCGTCCAGAAGTTCTGCCAGTACTGCAGACCCTGGAAGGCATCGTGGATGGCGAGCAGCATGTTCGAGTACTTGTTCCAGCCGTCCGGCTTGGCCACCTTGTTGCGCGCCCACGGGTAGTACTTGTTGAGCAGCTCCTGCACCTTGGGCACCACATTGCCCTTGGGCTCGTTCACCGCCTGGATCGCCGTCACCACACCCGCATAGTCGGGGTGCGTGAACTCGGTGACGAGGCGGTTGAAGGCGTACTGCGTCTGGGTGTAGTAGCTCGGGTTGTTGGCCCAGTTGATGGGGCCGGAGCGGCCCGAGTTGTCAAAGCCGTTCTGCGAGCCG